TGATGTGAAGCTCTTCCTGCTTCGCACTCGTGACGCGCAGCCATTGTCTGTAATTCGTGGGTGCCCGGAATATTCTGTCATTAAGAGCTTCAAAGCAACTGTTCATCGACTCCAGCCTTTATTTGGATTACCAACATTCTCCTCGCTACATCAAAACAACGCATTGAAGACTACGTCGACTCACACTTCGACCCCCAAATATACGAGAAAGCTGATAAGAAAGGGAACTCAGTAAACCCTCCACAGCTCCAATATAAGGACATTTCACATAATAGCCCCAGCATGTCACAGCCTGTGGCATCTTGTACAACCCAGCGTTTTGAGCAACCCCAGAACGCACGGCGGCCAGCCTTCTCTCATGCCAACGTCGACGCCTTCAGTCCCCACTCACCACAGGGCAGCGACGCAGTAAGTTCTCCACGCAAAGTCAGTGGCAGACTTCCACACAAGTACACAGATGTCTCTGACCTAGCTGCCCTTCTCGCTCGTCGTGACCTTCTCACAGCCGGGTTCAAGGTGTTTGACAATCAGCCTGAGAGCTATCTGTCATGGCGGTCTGCCTTCTATAATGCCATCGACGGCTTGGATCTCAAACCTAGTGAGGAGCTCGACTTACTTACCAGATGGCTTGGTGGGGAGTCACTTCAGCATGCCCTGCGGATCAGAGCAGTCCATGTCAATGATCCAGCGGCTGGACTCAACAGACTATGGCAACGGTTGGAAAAGACTTACGGTTCTCCAGAAGTTATTGAAGCTTCACTATTCAAGCGTCTCGACAATGTAACTAAAATCTCTCCGAAAGACAGCCGACGTCTTCAAGAGCTTGCAGACCTTCTTCTGGAAGTAGAAGGTGCAAAGAATGAAGGTTACCTGCCTGGCCTCAATTTCCTCGATTCAGCTAGAGGCATCAATTCAATCGTTGAGAAGCTTCCCTACAACCTGCAAGAAACTTGGGTCACTCAAGGGACTAAATACAAGAGAGAGAACCTTGTCCATTATCCACCATTCTCCTTCTTCGTAGACTTTGTGAACAGTTATGAAGAAATGAAGATGGATCCCAGTTTTGCCCTCCAAGGCTCCGACACAGCACGCTACAAAGATGATGAGAAACCTCCCATCAAGCAGTGGAAGAGCAGAACCCCAATCTCGGCTAACAAAACTGAGGTTGAAGCCTCCAACCTTCCAGGTAGTGACAACCCTCCCATAGACCCCGAAAGACATTGTCCCATTCATAACAAACCACACTCTCTCAGGAAGTGTAGAGGTTTCAGAATGAAGACCTTAGAAGAGAGGAAGAGTTTCCTCAAAAAGCATTTCATCTGTTTCAAATGCTGTATGTCCACAAACCATATAGCCAAAGACTGTAAGACAGAAATTCGATGTTCTGAGTGTGACAGCGATCGCCACATCTCAGCTCTCCATGATGGTCCGCCTCCCTGGATGGAAAAGGAGCCCGTGACTTCTGAGGATGATGGCGGGGAGCAAGCTGAGGAGAACTCCACTGTAGGTACATCCAGCTGCACTGAAGTTTGTGGGGAGTGCTTACACGGAAAGTCATGTTCCAAGATATGCCTGGTCACTGTGTATCCCAGGGGATGTCCTGAACAAAAGAAGAAAATGTATGTAATGCTGGACGACCAGAGTAATTTGTCACTCGCCAAATCCGCCTTCTTCGACATGTTTAATGTTCAGGGAATGGTCTCCCCCTATACACTGAAAACATGTTCTGGCACGACAGAAACCAGAGGAAGAAGAGCCACAAACTTCGTCATAGAGGCTATTGATGGTGGAGTATCCTTGGCGCTGCCAACACTCATCGAATGCAATTTGATACCTAATAACAGAGAAGAAATACCAACTCCAGAAGCTGCTTCACATCATCGCCATCTCAAAACCATTGCTAACAGGATACCACCACTTGATGCTTCAGCTGAAATCCTTCTGCTGCTTGGAAGAGACATCATTCGAGTCCACAAGGTTCGCAGCCAGTGTAATGGGCCACATAATGCGCCATATGCCCAACGCCTTGATTTAGGATGGGTAATTATCGGAGACGTGTGCCTCAGGGGAGCCCACAAACCCACTGTGAACACTTTCAGGACCAGTATCCTGAAGAATGGTCGAAGCAGCTGCTTCAAACCCTGTGAGAGCAGCATCTACGTTAAAGAGAGGTTTACAGGAAAGCACCCTAAACAACCTTCTCGAAACCCGGTTCCAGATGGTCTTTCCAAGCAGATCTTCAGGCACACCATTGAAAATGATAAACTGTCACTTTCTGTGAAAGACGAGATCTCCCTCCAAATCACGAAAGAAGAGTTCTCAAAGGATGACTCCAACAGTTCGGTAGCTCCCCTCCCGTTACGGTTTCCAAGGCAACACTTGACAAACAGGAAGCAAGCCCTCAACTGTCTACCATTCCTTCGGCATACTTTGAAGAAGAAGCCGAGGACGAAAGATCACGATGTAGAATTCATGGAAAAGATTTTACATTCCGGACACACAGAACCAGCTCCTCCTCTTACATCTGATGAAGAGTGCTGGCATCTACCAAGTTTCGACGTCCATCATCCACAGAAGACTGTCAGCATCCAAGGTCATTCAATACTAAAAGACATTACTCCTGACACCAGTGACTGGAATGGATCACTCCCAAAGAAGAGTCATGAGAAATGGGAAAGACGGTGAGAGTTTCTGCAAGACCTCCAAGACTCGACAATTTCAAGAGTGTATACACCACTCCCGCTGTCTACAGCTCAAAGAAAAGAAACGTCCATCCTTCGCGACGCATCCTCCAAATCAGTAAGCGCTGTTGCTTACCCCAAGATGACAGACGGCAAAGGTCACGATGAAGTTTGGTCCACCTTCGGCAAAGCAAAACATGCCCCGAAACCAAATCAGTGGAACAAGGTGTCCACTGACCACAACCCAGCTGATCATGCCACCTGGACCCTACCAGCTGACCAGCTGGTCTTCTCTTCATGGTGCCCAAGGACACCTCATAGAGGATTTTACATTGACACTTACCTTTGATGATGTTCATTGTTTTTTGTTGGCTTGTTAGATTGCCATCTTACAGATGCCAGGCGGGGAGTATTCTGCCCCCAGTAATTGTATTACAGTGCAGTG